AAAACATTAGAGAGCGATCCTGGGACCGACACAGCTACAACAAAACTGCAGTGAGTTAGCCAGTCAGGTTATGCTACTGCTCGCTCTCTGTAAGAGGCTGCAGGAATGACCCAGAGGTACTTATGATAGTTGTGTTGGTAACTCCAAATCTACAGGCATTTGTTATAAATACATCACTACAGAAACATTGCCTCTTTGACCCCCATTTACCCAGCAGCAGAATTAATTACTGTCAAAGTTAAGAATATACTCAATAGAGAAAAAGATTTAGGGCCACAATGTGCTAGACACTGGGTGCTAGAGTGCACAAGAAGACTCCACACCTTGCTCTTCCTCACACAGCCTCTAGGCACAATTGCAGTTCCTCCTATCACTCTCATGGGCACTAGCCACCCCAAAGGGGTATGGTCATGATCCTCAGCTCTTCTGTAATGGCCTGAGTATCTGGCTAGACATGTTGCATTTGTTGAACTGGTTTGGTTATCTGGATTCTCTGCTGGAGCTACCCCTGTGGCTTCACACCACCCCCAGGGTGGGACAATGGAAAGCCTTTTATCAGTGTAATTCGGAGTGATCTCTCTATTTTCTCTCTATCCATTTCTCTCACTTTTTCCCTGTTGGTTTCTCCTTTTGCTCTGTCTTGTCTCTTCAATTCCCTTTCATATTGGCCTAACTGTGGATATGTCTACCCTACAAGCGCTACACGTGCAGTGCTGCAGCTATGCTGCTGCAGTACTGTAATGTAGACACTTTTACAGTGACAGAAGAGGTTTTTCCATAACTAGTGAGATGCAGTAGATAGATGGAAGAATTCTTTGTTAATGCTTTGGGTTTTGCCCCTAGCAGAGTATACAAAGATTACAAAATGGCATTTCTCTATTCTGCATGTTGAAGGAATGGGAGTTTTTCTTTTTTCTGGCCTAGGATTGGAAAAGAAACTGGGGTAGAGCTATATCCTGGTTGATGTAGAAGCAAGATACAACTTCTGTGAGGAAACTGCAGCAGCAGCATCTAAACTATTCTCTTTGGGCAAAAAGAGTCTGAGGCAGGAGAAGTTTCAGAGTAGCAGCCGTGTTAGTCTGTATCCGCAAAAAGAAGAACAGGAGGACTTGTGGCACCTTAGAGACTAACAAATTTATTAGAGCATAAGCTTTC